AGCAGCAGCAGCAGCAGCAGCAGCAGCAGCAGCAGCAGCAGCAGCAGACAGCAGACAGCAGACAGCAGACAGCAGCCAGTAGCAGCAGGCAGCTCCCACTGGTGTCACAGCTCTTGAATGGCTTCAGGGTGATGGGGCATTCACTCTGCAGTGACTACTATTACAATCCTCTGGTCTAGAATGTGGGAATCTTCCATCAGCCCCTCTTGCTATTAGTGTTACAGCTCTCAGCATAGGTTTTCTGTGATCCTTGGCCCTAAAAACTTCAATTCCTAGGCACTCATTCACGTCCCCAAGCCCATGTTTCTCCTCCCTGGTTTGCCACAGCCTTCTGTCTTTTACAGCCTTGGTTTTCTGCCTTCTCTCTTGTTTCTCTGACTCTGCCATTCCTCAGTGTCTCTCTGTTTTGCTGCCCATCCTTTCTGCCATGTCCCCTCACTTGTTCTCTTGTCTCTGCCCCTGTGACAGCTATCACCACTAGAGCTGCTTGCTCTACTTGCTTGCCTTTGCTACCATCTCGTGCTTCTGCATCTTCTCTTTGTCTTGGCAGTTCAGACCACTCTTCTAATGATGCAGAGCAAACGAGATGAGAAAGGACCATTCAGAAAGTCCTTTATTGGTCCTAATGATGCAGCATCAGGACTGTCAGAGAAGGGGCTGTCCTGGCTGACTCTAAAACTGAACCAAACAGCTCATTTAATAGATAAGAAGGGGTGTGATAAGGATGTCTGCACCTTCACAGCAGCCCTTCAAGAACTGTGTTTGTACCAATCACAGCACAGAGTCTTGTTTACAGCTCTTCCCTAGGGTCATAGTTGGAAGTGCTCCCCCTTCTGGCCTGAGTGAGAACAGCGGCAGGATAGGCTTGGCCTTAAGCAGTTTGCCAAATCTTCTCTTGCTTAGAGTGCTGCTTTCCATAGGCTGTTCCAGTTGTAGGAGCAGTCAGAACAGGAGCCTGTCTTCAGCCATGGGGTGATAGTATTTTTCAGTAGCTAGAGGGGCCTCAGAGTAAAGTGCCCAAACTGCTGGACTGCTGAGAGGGCAGTCTGGTCAGATTGTTAGTTAAGAGGCTGTTTGGCTGATAGCTAAAATCATTCATTCACAGACAATAAAAGTGTGTTTACAATAAATACTTAATAAAACCCCAATATATTACAAGTCTAACTTCACTTAACAGTACTTAATAAAATTGAACATTTAACAGGGTTTAACTTCTGCCCCCAAACTGTAGAGTCATTGAATCCCTCTGATCTGTCTCAGAAGGAACCAGGGCCTCTTCTGTCTATGGTGTTGGACTGTGCTTTTCAGACTGCAGAGTTCTGCTGGGAAAGGAACTCTTAGAATTTCCCACAGGTGAAGGAACAGTCTGGACCTCAGCGTGTCCCATTGTGTAGGCGGGACCTTCTATCCTATTGATCAGCCTGCACTGACAAAATGAACAACCTAGCACTTCTGTCTGTCTCTGTGCCTCAACTCTCCTGCTGTAAAACTGTAATCTGATTCACTTCAAAATACTGCTTATGATTGTCATCCAAATGTTACATGCAAACTATAGAAAATGATATTTTAGATAAGAAAGGTAAAATGAAAATGCTTGCCATCTACCAGAAGAAAAATTTGCAAATTATGGTTATCATGTTCCCTATCAATCATGTGCCATCTCTAAATCATACTACATAGCATGCTCTTAATAAATATTTGCTAAATTCAATATGATTGGATTTAATCTTTTATTCTGACAAAAAGAAGCTGAGAAGTACAATATTTTCATCATTCCTTTCACATTAAAAAGGCATAACTTAGATAAATAATAATAATGATGACAATAATAATAATACCTAATTAACCAAAGCAGCAGAAATTATTTAAAGGAAACTGAGCTTCCTTTGACTTGAAGGTCATTTCTCAGTGGCTATGGTCCTGTAGCAATAAGATGATCATGTCTTTGCTTGTTTTTGTTTATTTACCTTGATGAGGTGTTTAAAAGGTAGAAGCAACTCTCTCCCTCTCTCTCTCTCCCTCCCTCCCTCTCCCTCTCCCTCTCCCTCTCCCTCTCCCTCTCCCT